CACAAATTTGAACACAAGTCATATATGACATAACGCAGCTATGAAACTATTTAGAACTGGATTCCGACCCCGATATCAAAAAGTCAACTCCCCGGTCAAACTTCCAAACTTAAATTCCTATTTTAGCCATTTCAAGCCTAATTTCACTACGAACTTCCAAATAAAATTTCGATCACGCTACTAAGTCCAACATCACCATACGGAGCTGTTGGAATCATCAAAATACTATTCTGGGGTCGTTTGCACATGATTCAACATCCGGTCACTATTTGACTTAAGCTTTTAAAACCTTTAATGTTTCATCAAAATTTCATATCGCGGGCTAGAGACCTCGGAATTTGATTCCGGGCATACCCCCAGGTCCCAAATCACGATACAGACCTACCGAAACTATCAAAACACTGATCTGAGTCCGTTTGCTCAAAATGTTGACCAAAGTCAACTCAGTTGAGTTTTAAAGCTCTAATTCACATTTTAATCCATTTTTCACATAAAAGCTTTTCGGAAAATTTTACGGACTGCGCACGCAAGTCGAGTAATGATAAATAGTGCTTTTCGAGGTCTTAGAACACAAAATTAATTATTAACTTTAAAGATGATATTTTGGGTCATCACAAGACTTCTCTCACGAACGTGAAGACGAAAACGAGAGTTGGACACCAAAAATTCTTCAACTTTTCTCCAAATCCAAAATTGATCCCAAGCAACCCCAAAATCCATCACACACGCATGAAGCATATCCTCAAATATCTGAATAGTGCGCTTGAACTGTCCGTCTGTGTGAGGGTGAAATGTTGCACTCAACTCCGCATGAGTACCCAACTCACGTTGTACGGCTCTCCCGAACCGTGACATAAATTGTGTACCACGGTCATAGATGATGGATATTGTTACGCCATGAAGCCTGACAATCTCGCGGATGAAAATTTGAGCCAGCTGCTCCGAAGAATTGGTAGTAACCACAGGAATTAAATGAGCTAACTTGGTCAATCTATCCACAATTACCCAAACCAAATCAAACTTCCTCTGAGTCCGTGGGAGTCAAACAACAAAATCCATAGTGATCTGCTCCCATTTCCATTCTGGAATCTCTAACTTCTGAAGCAATCCACCCGGTCGCTCATGCTCATATTTCACCTGTTGACAATTTAGGCACCGAGAAACATACTCCACTATGTGTTTCTTCATCCGCCTCCACCAATAGTGTTATCTCAAGTCCTGATACATCTTCGCGGTACCTGGATGAATCGAACTGTGATCCTCCTAGAGAATCAACTTATGCAAACCATCTATATTAGGCACACATAGCTTACCCTGCATCCGTAATACACTGTCATCTCTAATAATGACTTCCTTGGTGTCACCGTGCTGAATTGTATCCTTAAGGACAAGAAGATGGGGGTCATCGTACTGACGCTCCCTGATACGATCATAAAGAGAAGACTGAGAAACCACACAAGCCAAAACTCGGCTCGGCTCAGAAACATCCAACCTAACAAACTGGTTGGCCAATGCCTGAACATAAAGGGCTAAAGGCCTCTCTGCTACCGAAGTGATAGAGAATGGTGATATCATAATCCTTAAGCAACTCCAACCACCTCTGCTGCCACCAATTAAGATCCTTCTATTTAAATAGATGTTTTAGACTCTGGTGATCAGTATAAACCTCACAATGGACACCGTACAAATAATGTTGCCAAATCGTCATGTCATGAACAATTGCTTCTAGCTCAAGGTCGTGGACCGGATAATTCTTCTCATGTACCTTTAACTATCTGGACACATAGGCAATCACCCTATCGTCTTGCATCAACACTACGCCGAGACCAATTCGCGACGCATCACAATACACAGTATAAAACCATGAACCTGTATGCAATACCAATACTACCGTTGTAGTCAAAGCTGTCTTGAGCTTTTGAAAGCTCTCCTCACAGTCCTCGATCCCACCTGAATGGAGCACCCTTCTGGGTCAATTTGGTCATAGGTGCAGTAATAGAAGAAAAACCCTCTACAAATCTGTGATAATACCTTGCCAAGCCAAGAAAACTCCGGATCTCAGTAGCTGATGACGGTCTGGGCCAACTCTGCATTATTTCAATTTTCTACGGATCTACCTGGATCCCCTTGTTCGTTACCACATTACCCAAAAATCCTACTGAATCAAGCCAGATTTCACACTTTAAAATTTTTGCATAAAACTTCTTTTCTCTCAAAGTCTAAAGCACAGTCCTCAAGTGTTGTTCATGATCCCCCCGGCTCCGGGAATACACTAGAATGTCATCAATAAACACAATGATGAATGTTGTCAAGATAGGGCCGAAATACACTGTTCATTAAGTGCATAAATGCAGCTGGGGTGTTGGTCAACCCAAATGACATTACAAGGAACTCATAATAACCATACCGAGTCCTGAAGGCAGTCTTCGGGATATATGGCTCCCGAATCTTCAACTGATGATAGCCTGAACGTAAGTTGATCTTAGAGAACACTCTGGCACCCTGAAGCTGATCAAATAGGTCATCAATATGTGGCAATGGATACCTATTCTTTATTGTAACCTTGTTCAACTGGCGGTAATCAATACACATCCGCATTGAAACATCCTTCTTCTTCACAAATAAGACAGGAGCACCCCAAGGCGATACACTGGGCCAAACAAAACCCTTATCAAGTAGCTCATATAACTCCTCCTTTAATTCCTTCTATTCTGCTGGGGCCATACGATATGCTGGAATAGAAATGGGCTGAGTACCTGGTAACAAATCAATGTCAAAGTCAATATCCCCGTCGGGTGGCATACCCGGAAGATCCGATGGAAATACATCAGGAAAATCCCTTACTACAGGAACTGACTCCACGGTAGGAGTATCAATACTAACATCTCTCAATGTAGATGGTTTGTGTGAGTTGATTCTCCAGGAGGCTCACAGTTTGCGGTACTCCATTCATCCGGGTGCTGCAAAGATGTATCAGGACTTGAGACAACACTATTGGTAGAGGCGGATGAAGAAACACATAGTGGAGTATGTAGCTCGGTGCCTAAATTGTCAACAGGTGAAATATGAGCATCAGCAACCTGGTGGATTGTTTCAGATGTTAGATATTCCACAATGGAAATGGGAGCGGATCACTATGGATTTCGCTGTTGGGATCCCATGGACTCAGAGGAAGTTCGATGAAGTTTGGGTAATTATGGATAGATTGACAAGGTCAGCTCATTTCATTCCTGTGTTTACTACTTACTCTTCGGAGCAGCTGGCTCAGGTTTACATTCGCAAGATTGTCAGGCTTCATGGCATACCGGTATCTATCATCTCTATCTAGGGTACGCAGTTCACATCACGGTTCTGGAGGGCCGTACAGCGAGAGTTGGGTACTCGAATAGAGTTGAGTGCAGCATTTCACCCTCAGACGGACGGGTAGCCCAAGCACACTATTCAGATACTGGTGGACATGCTTCATGCATGTGTGATAGATTTTGGGGGTGCTTGGGATCAACTTTTGCCACTTATGGAGTTTTCTTACAATAACAATTATCAGTCGAGCATTCAGATGGCGCCATATGAGGCCTTATATGGTAGGCGGTTCCGGTCTCTATTAGGTTGGTTCGAACCGGGTTAGGCTAGACTATTGGGTACAGACCTGGTTCAGGATGCTTTGGAAAAAGGTTAAATTGATTCAGGATCGACTTCGTACAGCTCAATCTAGAGAGAAGAGTTATGCGGATCAGAAGGTTCGTGATGTTGCATTCATGGTTGGTAAGCAGGTCTTGCTCCGAGTTTCGCCCATGAAAGGTGTTATGAGATTCGGGAAGAAGTGCAAGTTGAGCCCTAGGTATATCAGACCTTTTAAAGATTTTTGAAAGAATTGGAGAGGTGTCTTACAGACTTGCACTACCACCTAGTCCCTCTGCAGTTCATCAAGTCGGTAGAAGAGGCAATTTGGGATACTAAGCATGATATGCGTAGCCGCTATCCTCATCTTTTCACCACTCCAGGTATAATTCTAAACTCGTTCGAGGACGAACATTTGTTTAAGAGGGGAAGGATGTAACGACTCGGCTGGTCGTTTTGAAAGTTGTAGCCTCATTCCCCCATTTACTACTCATTCTGTACTTTATAGTTGTATTGTGACTTGCTGGGGTAGTCCGTTCAAGTCCGGAGAGATTTCGGAATGAATTAAGACACTTAGTCTCAAGGTTGAAAACTTAAGTTGAAAAGGTTGACCGTATGTGTAAACGACTCCGAAATAGAGTTTTAATGATTCCAATAGCTCCGTATGGTCATTTTGGACTTAGGAGCGTGTCCGAAAAATTATTTGGAAGTCCGTAGCTAAATTAGGCTTGAAATGGATAAAAATAGAAATTTAAGTTTGGAAGTTTGACCGGGGAGTTGACTTTTTGATATCGGAGTCAGAATCCAGTTCTGAAAATTTTCATAGCTCTGTTATGTCATTTGTGACTTGTGTGCAAAATTTAAGGTCAATCGGACTTGATTTGATAGGTTTCGGCATCGAATGTAGAAGTTGGAAATTCTTAAGTACCTTAAGCTTGAATTGGGGAATGATTCATGGTTTTAGCATTGTTTGATGTGATTTGAGGTTTCGACTAAGTTCGTATGCTGTTGTAGGACTTGTTAATGTATTTGGTTGATGTCCCGGGGGCCTCAGGTGAGTTTTGGAAGGTTAATGGATCAATTTTGGATTTAAACAGCTGCTGGAATTTTTTGATGCCTGTATCTGTTTCCTTCATGGCGTTTGCGAGGGGAGTCTCGCATTCGCGAAGAGGAAATTCGGACTGGCCATTTTGTGCTTGGCGTTCGCGACCGAGGGCACGCTTTCACGAAGGATCGAGGGGCAAGGCTGCGCATTCGCGATCGAGACCTCACGTTCGCAAAAGGGAAAACTGGCCTGGGGGAAAATTGGTCTTCGCGTTCGCGAGACCGGGCTCGCGTTCGCGAACGAGGAAATCTGGGCAGCACAAAAATGTGCTTCAAGAATGCGAGGGAGCTGTCGCGTTCACGAAGAAGGAATGTCTGGAAAGAGAGTTTTAGTTCTGAATATGGGACTTCGTCCCATTTTCCATTTTTCCCGATTTGGAGCTCAGGGAGAGGCAATGTTCGGGAGATTTTTCAAGGAAAATATCGGGGTAAGTGTTATTAACTCATTTTTTATCAAAGTACCCGAATCTATGGTAGTTTTTAACATTTAATTGGTGGATTAAGTTGGAAAAATATTGAAAATACCTAAGTTTAGATTGAAGATTTGAGGGTCGAATTGATGTCGAAATTTAGTGATTTTGACATGGATGGACTCATGGTTGAATGGACGTTCATATTTTGTAACTTTTGTTGGGTTACGAGACGTGGGCCCCACTGGCGATTTTTAAGTTAAATTTCAGATTTTGTTGGAAAATTAGTATTTTCATATGGAATTAATTTCCAATAATTTGTATTGAATAAATCGATTTAATTGACTAGATACGAGGATTTCGGAGCTCCTTATTGTGGAAAATATTGTTGTTGTTGATTTATTTTGGCAAGTTGAAATATTTGGGCACTTGAGGTGCAAATTGTGATATATTGTGATATTGATACGCATGCGGTAGTATAAGGTCTGGCTGTTGAAGCGCATGCGGTGAGATAAAGGTGTCTTGATACGCGTGGCTAGTAGGGAAACTACTAGAAGTCATGCGGTGTCTTGTCACGACCCCAAATTCCCTCTATAGGATGTCGTGATGGAACCTAGTCTCTAAGATTAGGTAAGCCTATCAATGCGGGATAACTGAATATAACCTAAAATTTAATCCTTAATAGTTGAATAAATAAGAACTGCAAATTTAACAATTACAACTCCCAAAACCCGGTAGGAATAAGTCACAAGCTTCTAAGATTTTATTCTAAGTGTCTTTATACATTGGGGTCTAAAGAGAATAAGGAAAACAACATAATAAGGATAGAAGGGGACTCCGAAGTCTGCGGACGCTGGCAAATATACCTTGAAGACTCCGCGTACGGCTAGTTCACTGATGCCTGGTCTGATAGGAAGTACATAGATCTGTACAAAAAGATGTGCAGAAGCGTAGTATGAGTACACCATAACGGTACCCAGTAAGTGCCAAGCTTAACCTCGGTAGAGTAGTGACGAGGTGAGGTCAGTCCCTACTTGAATAATAAAAGACAAGATGGAAAGTTTAACAATATAATAATAAAAAAGGCAATGAGAATAAATCAAGTAAGTAATATGTCACAATTTAACTACACAGAATAAGGGTAAACAATACCTCGCGGAAGGAAAACATAAGTTTACAACTTTAATAAAATCACCAAAATAACCAAAGGCAAATGCAGCTATAAAGAAATATCAACAAGGGCACTCCCGAGGTACCGCCTCGTAGTCCCAAATCATAAATAAATTCACAATATCTCATTTCCTTATATCACCGCGAGAGCCTTCACATTTAATTTTAAAGAAAATATTTTTTCCGAAATAGCATAACGCATTTTAGCCACCCTTATCACACCGCATGACTTCTAGTAGTTCCCCTAATAGCCACGCGTATCAAGCCACCCTTATCTCACCGCATGCGTTTCAACACCCAGATCTTATACCACCGCATGCGTATCAATATCACAATATATCACAATTTGCACCTCAAGTGCCCAAATATTTTAACTTATAAATCAACAACAACAATAATATTTTCCATAATAAGGAGCTCACGACTCAATCACAATGAGTACAAAATCTCACAAAATATTCAGGAATAAATAACTCAGCAAAAATAATATTTCACAAATTAAACATCTTGCCTTAATATCAAATTTTTAAATGTAAAATACTTCATCTTAATAATATTTAAATTAAGAAATCCAACCTTCAAATAATGCACAGCACAAAAAAAAACAGAGTTTCAACTATATAGGTAAAACACTTACCAGGAACAGGTCAAGCAAATTTAAAATACGAAAATATATTAATGATCATGAATATAACAGAATAAAATAATTTAATTAATATGCAACAGTGATCCACACAATTTAAAGATACAAATCTTCCACATTTAGCCCGTGTACACACTCGTCACCTTGTGTACACGACTTTCAACACATCAAACTTTTCATATTAATACCTATCCTAAGGGGAATTCCTCCCTCCCCCCTCCCCACACAAGGTTAGACAAGTCACTCACCTCAAACCACGCTCAATCAGTCAAGTAGTATGCCTTTTCCTTGATTTTTCAATCTGTTCGGCTTGAATCTAGTCATAATTAATTCGATTCAATCAATACAAATTATAGGAATGATTTTCATATGAAAATATAAATTTTCTAACAAAATCTGAAACTTGTCCCAAAAATCGCCCATGGGCCCACATCTCGAAACCCAAAATAAGTTATATAATGTGAACGCCCATTCAACCACGAGTCCAACCATATAATTTTTACTAAAATCCGACATCAACGCGACCCTCAAATCTTCAATTTAAACCAAGAGGGTTTTCTAAATCTTCCAACTTAAATCCTCAATTAAATGTTAAAAACAACCATGGATTCGGGTAATTTGACCAACACTGAGTTAAGAACACTTGTCCCGTTATTTTCCTTGAAAATCTCTTGAACATCGCGTCTTTCCGAGCTTCAATTTGTCAAAAATAGAAAATGGGACGAAGTCCCATTTTCAGAACTTAAAGTTTCTGCCCAGAGATTTCTTCTTTGCGAACTCGACCCTTTCCTCGCGTTAGCGAAGCACAAAATATGCTGCCCAAAATTTCTCTTCGTGAACACGAGGGTCCTCTCACGAACGCGATGGCCACGGGTCCCATGCCTTCATGAACGCGACGCCTCACTCGCGAACGTGTAGGCTAACACGTGAAGTCCACCCCAGCCCTCACTCTTCTTCGCGAACGAGTGGCCTCTTTCGCGTTCGCGATGCACACTGGTCCTCACCCTTTGCGAACGCGAAGAACAAACTCTCACCTTCCCCAGTTCTCCTTCGCGAACGCGAGACCTCTCTCGCGAACGCGAAAGAGGAAACCAGAGTGGAACACCAGAAATTCTTCAGCTGTTCTCCAAGTCCAAAATTCCGTTAACCTTCCAAAATGCAGCCGAGGCCCCCGGGACTTCAACCAAATATACCAACAAGTCCTACAACAGCATACAAACTTAGTAGAATCCTCAAATCACATCAAACAACTCTAAAACCATGAATCATACCCCAATTCAAGCTTAAGGAACTTAAGAATTTCCAATTTCTACATTCGATGCCGAAACCTATCAAATCAAGTCCGATTGACCTCAAATTTTGTACACAAGTCATAAATGACATAAAAGAGCTATGAAAATTTTTGGAACTGGATTACGACTCCGATATCAAAAGGTCAACTCCCCGTTCAAACTTCCAAACTTAAATTTTTTTTTAGCCATTTCAAGCCTAATTTAGCTACGGACTTCCAAATAATTTTACGGACACGCTCCTAAGTCCAAAATTACCATACGGAGCTAGTGGAATCATTAAAACTCTATTCCGGGATCATTTATACATAAGACAATATCTGGTCAACCTTTTCAACTTAAGTTTTCAACCTTGAGACTAAATGTCTCAATTCATTCTGAAATCTCTCTGACTCAAACTGACTACCTCGGCAAGTTATAATATAGCTATAAAGTACAGAATGAGCAGTAAATGGGGGAATGGGGCTACAACTCTCAAAACGATCGGCCCGGTCGTTACATGATCTGGAGTTTTCTTGGCTTGGCGGGGTATTATCGCCAAATTGTAGAGGGTTTCTCTTCTATTGTTGCACCTATGACCAAATTGACCCAGAAGGGTGCTCCGTTCAGGTGGACCAAGAAATGTGAGGAGAGCTTTCAAAAGCTCAAGACAACTTTGACTATAGCCCCAGTATTGGTGTTGCCTATAGGTACATGGTCTTATACTGTGTATTATGATGCGTCGTGCATTGGTCTCGGTGTAGTGTTGATGCAAGACGGTAGGGTGATTGCCTATGCATCCAAACAATTAAAGGTACATGAGAAGAATTATCCGGTCCACGACATTGAGCTAGCAACTATTGTTTATGCCTTGAAGATTTGACGGCATTATTTGTGTGGTGTCCATTGTGAGGTTTATAATGATCACCAGAGTCTAAAACATCTGTTTAAATAGAAAGGATCTTAATTTGCGGCAGCGCTAGTGGTTGGAGTTGCTTAAGGATTATGATATCACCATTCTCTATCACCCCAGGAAGGCCAATGTGGTGGTTGATTCCTTGAGTCGTAAGGCGGAAAGTTTGGGCAGCTTAGCATACTTACCGATAGCAGAGAGAACTTTAACCTTGGATATTTAGGACTTAGGCAACCAGTTTGTTAGGTTGGATGTTTCCGAGCCGAGCCGAGTATTGGCTTGTGTGGTTTCTCAGTCTTCTCTTTATGATCGTATCAGAGAGCGTCGGTATGATGGCCCCTATTTGCTTGTCCTTAAGGACACAGTTCAGCACGTCGATGCCAAAGAAGTCACTATTGGAGATGACGGTGTATTACATATACAAGGCAGGCTATGTGTGCCTAATGTAGATGGTTTGCGTGAGTTGATTCTCCAGGAGGCTCACAGTTCGCGGTACTCCATTCATCCAGGTGCCGCGAAGGAATATCAGGACTTGAGACAACACTATTGGTTGAGGCGGATGAAGAAAGACATAGTGGAATATGTAGTTCGGTGCCTAAATTGTAAGCATGTGAAGTATGAGCATCGACGACCGGGTGGATTGCTTCAGTAATTAGAGATTCCAGAATGGGAATGGGAGCAGATCAATATGGATTTTGTTGTTGGACTTCCACAGACTCAGAGGAATTTCGATGCGGTTTGGGTGACTGTGGATAGATTGACCAAGTCAGCTCATTTCATTCCTATGGTTACCACCTACTCTTCGGAGCAGCTGGCTCAGATTTACATCCGCGATATTGTCAGGCTTCATGGCATACCGGTATCCATCATCTCTAACCGAGGTACGCAATTTACGTCACGGTTCTGGAGAGCCGTATAGTGTGAGTTGGGTACTCATGTGAAGTTGAGTACAACATTTCACGCTCACACAGACGGGCAGTCCGAGCACACTATTTAGATATTGGAGGATATGCTCTGTGCATGTTTGATGGATTTTGGGGGTGCTTGGGATCAATTTTGGACTTGGAGAACAACTGGAGAATTTTTGGTGTCCAGCTCTGGTTTCCTTCTTTGCGTTCGCGAGAGAGGTCTCGCGTTCATGAAAGGGAACTGGGGCAGGCGAGATTTTGTTCTTCGCATTCGTGAAGTAAGGGATGCATTCGCGAAGGGTGAGGGCCAGTGTGCATCGCGAACACGAGAGAGACCATGCGTTCGTGAAGAAGAGTGAGGGTTGGGGTGGACTTCATGCGTTAGCCTACGCCTTCGCGCATGAGGCGTCGCGTTCGCGAAGGCATGAGACCCATGGTCATCACGTTCGCAAAGAGGAAAGCTTGGGCAGCACATTTTGTTCTTCGCAAACGCGAGGCAAGGGTCGCATTCCCGAAGAAGAAATCCCTGGGCAGAAACTTTAAGTTCTGAAAATGGGACGAACCTATTTTTGACAAATTGAAGCTCCGAAAGACGCGATGTTCAAGAGATTTTCAAGGAAAACAACGGGACAAGTGTTCTTAACTCAATATTGGTCAAATTACCTGAATCCATGGTTGTTTTTAATATTTAATTGAGGATTTAAGTTGGAAGATTTAGAAAACCCTCTTGGTTTAAATTGAAGATTTGAGGGTCGAGTTGATGTCGTATTTTAGTAAAAGTTGTATGGTTGGACTCGTGGTTAAATGGGCGTTCGTATTTTATAACTTTTGTCGGGTTCCGAGATGTGGGCCCCACGAGCGATTTATGGGATAAATTTCGGATTTTATTAGAAAATTTATATGAAAATTATTCCTATAATTTGTATTGATTGAATCGAATTAATTATGACTAGATTCGAGCCGATCGGNGATCATTAATATATTTTCGTATTTTAAATTTGTGTAACCTGTTCCTGCTAAGTGTTTTACCTGTTTAGTTGAAACTCTGTTTCTTTTGTTCTGTACATTATTTGAAGGTTGGATTTCCTAATTTAAATATTATTAAAATAAAGTATTTTACGTTTAAAATTTTGATATTAAGGTAAGGTGTTTAATTTGTGAAATATTATTTTTGCTGAGTTATTCATTCCTGAATATTTTGTGAGATTTTGTACTCATTGTGATTGAGCCGTAAGCTCCTTATTGTGGAAAATATTCTTGTTGTTGATTTATTTTGGCAAGTTGAAATATTTGGGCACTTGAGGTGCAAATTATGATATATTGTGATATTGATACGCATGCGGTAGTATAAGGCCTGGGTGTTGAATCACATGCGGTGAGATAAGGGTGGCCTGATATGCGTGGCTAGTAGGAGAACTACTAGAAGTGATGCGGTGTGATACGGGTGGCTAAAACGCGGGATACTGTTTCGGAAAAAATATTTTCTTTAAAATTAAATGTGAAGGCTCCCGCGGTGATATAAGAAAATGAGATATTGTGAATTTATTTATGATTTAGGACTACAAGGCGGTACCTCGGGAGTGCTCTTGTTGATATTTCTTTATGACTGCATTTGCCTTTGGTTATTTTGGTGATTTCCTTAAAGTTGTAAATTTCTGTTTTCCTTCTGCGAGGTATTGTTTGCCCTTATTTTATGTAGTTAAATTGCGACATACTACTTACTTGATTTATTCTCATTGTCATTTTTATTATTATTATATTGTTAAACTTTTCACCCTGTCTTTTATTATTCCAGTAGGGCCTGACCTGACCTCGTCACTACTCTACCGAGGTTAGGCTTGGCACTTATTGGGTACCGTTGTGGTGTACTCATCCTACGCTTCTGCACATCCTTTTGTGCAGATCCATGCACTTCCTATCTGACCAGGCATCAATGAACTAGCCGTACGCAGAGACTTCAAGGTATATCTGCCAGCATCCGCAGACCTCGAAGTCCCCTTCTATCCTTATTATATTATTTTCCTTTTTCTCTTTAGACCCTAATGTATAGAGACACTTAGAATAAAATCTTAGAAACTTCTGACTTATTCCTACCGGGTTCTGGGAGTTATAATTTTAAATTTACAGTTCTTATTTATTCGACTGTTAAGGATTAAATTTCAGTTTATATTTAGTTATTCCACATTAATAGGCTTACCTAGTCTTAGAGACTAGGTGCCATAACGACATCCTACGGAGGGAATTTGGAGTCGTGGCAAAAATAAATAAATTGAAGTTCCTTACCAATGAATTTGGGAAGAAAAATCTCTTGGAAAGTCGCCTCTAGAGTGCCTAGGGTTGAGAAATGGTGTAAAATGAGCTAAGTCCCGATTTTTCAATCTTTTACCCACCTACAGGTGTCGCAATTGCGAGCTCTTTTTCGCAATTACAAACATCACAAATGCAAAACAAAGGTCGCAAATTCAAACCTTATATCAGAAGCTCAAATGTCGCAAATGCGACAAAATATTAGCAAATGTGAACTGCCCACCTTCGCAAAAGCGGCCAACTTCTTCGCAATTGCGAAGATACCCCAATTTAGCATTGCATTGCAATTGCGATGCCAGAGTTGCAAATGCGGATACAGCATCCATCACAAATGTGACCCCTTCGTCGAAAATGCGAAGTCCCAGCCCCCAACCCATGCTCGCGAATGCCAACTATTGTTTGCAAAAGCAAGGCTCGCAAATGCGAGCCAGACCTCGCAAATGCGAAATCTGCAGACAAACACTAGAAATAGCAGTGTACCAGCATTCCTCAAACTATCCAATCTCACCCGAAACGCGTCTGAAACTCACCCTAGCCCCTCGGGTTCCAAACTAAACATGCATACAAGTGTAATAACAACATACGAACTTGCTCGCGCGAACAAAATACCAAAATAATATCTAAAACTATAAATTGAACATCAAAACGAATGAAATTTTAAAGGAAAAGTCAAGAACATCTAAAATCACAACTAAGCGTCCGATTCCTATCAAACCAACTCCGTTTTGTACCAAATTTTGCAGACAAGTTTCAAATAATAAAATGGACCAAAATCCGAATCTGATATCTATAAAGTCATCCTACGGTCAAATCTAGAATATTTTTAAACTTTCAAATTGTTAACTTTCGAAAAAATAAGTCAAATCAACCTAGGAACCTCCGATTTCAATTTCGAGAATACCGGAATCGTCAAAACACCGATCAGGGATCATTTACCCAAAATGTTGACCGTGGTCAACTCTATCCTTATTTTTAGTCAAAATTTCTATTTTCATCAAAATTTCATATAAAAACTTTTTGAAAAGCAACACGGACCACGCACGCTCACAAAAAAATATCAAATAAAGCTACCGGAGATTTCAAAATACGGAAAAAAGGCTAGTACTCAAAATGACCTATGGGGTCGTCAGAAGTACACTCTTTATAAAATTATCTCTTTATAGTAGCCAAAAAAAACTCCAATATTACCAATAATAAGTCTAAAGATTTTGACTAAATATTTTCAAAATTTAATGCACCACTTATAATTAGAAATATTATGCTAGTACATAATTTCATAATTAAAGATTTTATTTAAATCCATTAAAAATATGCTTTCTCTCGTATTTAATTAGTGAAATATGCATATCTTTTGAGATTTTAAATTTGAATAGTTTTTTTATACGTAACATTAAAAACAAAATAAATTGATTTTTGGTTAATTTTTATCCAAAACACTCAAAAAATATTCAAACATCAAATGTTGTTGTAGGTGTATAGCAACCATTGTATGAAAAAAAAAATATTGAAACAAACAATGTTTTTATTGAGAAATTTGATTGTATCGTACTTTTATTCTATATCTGTACATCTTATTCACACATAAACTCATTAAAATAAAAATAATTAACTGCACGTTAAGAAATAACTTAAATGTTCATTCGAAATTACTAGTGATAATATAAATAGAACCAGTCATTCATCAAGAGTCATTTAAAGTTAGAGAAATTCTATTGTCGTTATATTATACATATATTATATATCCATCGATTATTTTTAATTTAAGCAATTAAGTGATTGGCTATTTAAGTTAATTCTTCTTTTATTAATATATAATTAATACATGTCTCTTAGTGCATCCATCTTTATTTGGATAGACAAGAGTGTTTTAAAATTGATATGCAAGACATGTTGGTAACTCGTTATTTTTCATTAGTTATTTAACATATCGGGATTATAAACTTTACTTTGCAACGAACTTATAAAAGAAAATCCCTTTATGAAACAAACCATTGGCAATTTATTATGCAAGACATGTTGGTAACTCTTTATTGTTTACCATATCGGAATTATGAACTTTACTTAACGGAATTATAAAAGAAAATATGTTGATGAAACAAACCTTTGGCAATTTATTTACTTTCTCTACTTTCTGGATCTTTGTTTTCTATAAAAGTAAGAGATCCACTTGATTCTCTTATATCTGCCGAAATTTACAGAGGATACTGTAAATAGTCAAATAGATTATGTTTAAAGTAAAGAATTAATTTACCTATATATATAAAAAGCATAAGAAGGCAAAAAATATTAATCATCCATTTGACCATACCACTTTAAGTTTGTCATGGTGAGTTAACATGGGTTTCATTGTTTATTTTTATTTTTCTATCAAGTTATTATTGTAACAATACTTTTCTGAAAATTTTCTTATATTAATCATAAATCCACAAAAGAAAGAAAAATGATTGATTCTAGCTATTTCTTTTTGTGCATAAACATTTTTGCAGGACAGAGTTTCCAACTTTCTAGTTTTTGTTACTTCATTTATTCTTCACCAAGGTCTAGCTGCTATTTTTGATGTCACAACTTATGGTGCTATCGGAGATGGAGTAACTGATGATTCTCAAGTAAAATATTTTTTTTATAATTAGTTTTCACATCTTATCAAGAAAAAAAATTCAATGAATAGAAGAAATTAAAACAATTTGATTAATTGTGTATTGTTCTTGTATTATGATTAATCTCCATTTTGAAGGCTTTTCAACAAGCTTGGCTAGATGTATGCTATGATTGTGAAAATCCAACATTCTTGTTGAGCCCTATATTATTTCAAGGCCCTTGCAATTCTACCACTATTAATATACAGGTAAAATGCTACACTTTGCAAGTTTGTTTTATATTCGTCATCTCTGATTAACTCCAAATAAAATATGCACGATGTATTCTTTAATTAGGAGTTATATAGCCCAGAAATATTTGTTAGAATTTAAATTTCACTTACTAATTAAATATATGTTTCATTTGATTTGTTTTACTATGAAATGTTTTAAAAGATTATAGATAAAATTCTGGGAAAATCTCTTGTTTGAGAAATGTCTTTGGACACTTTTTGAGAAATAGCAACTATCTAACGTGTCTTTCTTCTCATGAATTTATTTTTTAAGTGTGTGTGTAAGAAAAAACAAAAAGGGATAAAGGGGTTTCCTTAAAATAATTAGCGGATTCTATAAAGATAATTTCCAGGTTATTGGAGAGAGATTAATTTCGAAACTAAATATTATAATGTTGTTTTGAGTTTTACCAGGTTTTAGGGAATATCACGGCACCCCAAAATTTAAGAGAATGGGTAGGGTGTGAAAATGATAGTTGGCTTTATTTCACTGGGATATCTGGTCTCATCATCAATGGCACTGGTCAAATTAATGGTCAAGGCGCTGCCTGGTGGAACATTTCTGGTCCCGCTCAAAAGGTATGTTTAGAGCTCGCACTCGAAATATTAAGAGGTTACAATTTAATCTAAAACATTAAGAGTTTGAATTCTTTATGTCTCTCGATTTTTGATGTTGAATTGCATTTTTTACTTATCTTGTTAATTAATTATTCGAAGAAAAAGAGAGTTTTAAAAAATTATGAGTCAATAATATTAAGGAATTTGACGAAGTCTTTTTTCTCTTTTTTTTGCTAGGTCAATGGGACTTGCCACAAGCCAACGGTAAGACAATTTGTATTTTTTTAAGTGTTAAGGTTATACTGTGGTTATGATGGTCGCTGAATTGATTAAACCCTTTTGTAATTATTGATTATGGAGTGTTCACTTAATATAGCTAAGTTCTAGTAAATATTTCTGTAATGAACCTAATTCTTAACGTTTCATTCAATATTTTTATGTTATTTTTTCGTAGATAATATTTCAGTATTTAAAATACTGGAGAAATATAATTTTTTTGTTTAAGATGGTATTTTAAGTTAAATAATTATTTTCATTGATAGATATCCAAACTGGTTTTGCAAGTACGAAATTCATGTCTAGGCAAACACAACTTTTAAATATATATTTTTCAACTTTAGTTTCTGTTTCAAACACTCTTTTTATCTTTATAAACTTCAAACAAAAATAATATCCAAACGCCTACTAATTGTTTTTATTTTGCAGACTATGCACTTTAATTTTTGTAATGATCTTGAATTGAGTGGACTGAACCTTGTTAATAGTTCAAGAAACCATATAAGCATTACTTTTAGCACAGGGGTAAATATCTCCAATATCACTAAAACTGCACCTGAAGATAGCCCCAACACTGATGGTATTGATCTCTCTATGTCTACCACTCAAGTTCAAATTCTGAATTCCACTTTTCAAACAGGTAACTACAATTTTAATGTACTATTAGAAATGTCTTAAGGTTGTAAATTTTTTAATTCTTTCGATAAGATTTAAGTTGATTAATTAATTTTCGTAAAAAAAAAATATTGATACAAATAGGTGATGATTGCATTTCCATCAATACGGGATGTTCTGATATAAATATTACTGGTATTTCATGTGGACCAGGACATGGTATAAGGTAAAAGTTGACCGAAATTTCTCTTTTTGTTTTTGTTTTGTTTTTGACGGAATAGATTGGGATCCTCTGAATTAGGCGATTTTTATTCAGTATAATTTTTTTTTAATGAAATCCTTCTTGCACTCCTTTTTTGTTTTGGCAGTGTAGGAAGCCTAGGAATTAATGAGACTTTTGCTGCTGTGGAGAATATAAATGTAACAAATTGTACCTTCCAAGGAACACAAAATGGTGTAAGAATCAAAACATGGCAGGTAAATAGAAGGTTCTTATTTTTTATTTATTTATTTGTGGATGATTTGAAAAATGTCTTCTGATTCCTTTTCAGGGTGGTATGGGCTATGCCAGATTTATAAATTTTGAGAATATCAACCTCACAAATGTTCGTAATCCCATCATTATCGACCAATTCTATTGCAATGGTGCTCATAATTGTGGAATTGAGGTAAACATAAAGAAATTTAAAAACCCTCGATTCTAAATAAAAGGGAACTTATTATATTTTCAAATGATAATTAATCCATATTATTTTTTGTGCAGCCAAATGCAGTCCAAGTGAGTAATGTAACATACAAGGATATATTTGGGACAACACCAAGCAAAATAGCTATAAATCTGAATTGCAGTGACAACTGCACAGCTTGCACCAACTTAGTATTTGAGCAAATTAATATAACCTCAGTTTTGCCTGAAAAACAAACTCTTGTATCTTGTAATAATGCTCATGGACAAGCCAATTCAACTTTACCCCCAATAACATGCTTGTTAACATAATTAAAAAGAAAATTTCCCATTTATTTATATAACAATTGGAGGATCACCACTTTTTGTTTAGCAGTATAGTATTTGGAGTTGGACGCATGTTCATGAGTTTAAGCTAATATAAGTTCTGTTTTACTTGAATTATCTACTAACTTTGAGTCATTGTATTGGTGCTTGCTATTACATGAAAATCACTTGGAATAGATATTTTAGTCATATCGTTTTACTTTATTTCGAGATTGACCAAAATCAAGTTTGCTGTGGAATTCAAGACCTAATATACCATCAAACTTGGGTACCAAAAATGTCATATTGAGCTCCTATGTTGTTGTTGAACGTGCTAACAAAATCCAATATTGGATACCCCTACATATTAGGTGTAGCGATACCCTTATTCAAATCAATAAAATTTGTGCATACATGGCAATTGTAATTCACCACCACATTTGCTAGCCAATCATAGTAGCACACCTCTCCGATGAATTCGTTGTCAATAAGCTTTAATGGTGCGGGTCATTTTGGAAAAAACCTTCTATGTGTATCATGTTAAGGATCCAGATATTGCTCCAGTCCTGTCGTGGTGAATTACATTCCCTGCATGGCATGTTAGGCGTGTACCATGTAGCAAAGCACAATAAGATATTCTGTCAAGTATGACATTGGTGTGATAGGCGCATTCAAGCAATATTTTAACATTGTTGTCCTTGTTTATATGGTATTGGTGTTAGACAGGGTCATCGGAAACAATCTCTTTACCTTTACAAGATAGGAGTAAGGTCTGTGTAAATATTATTTTCCCCAGACTTCAGTTGTGAGATTACACTAGGTTTGTTGTTGTTGTGTTAAAGAGGCAATGATATAGGATAATTTAGAACTTCACGGGAGTAGTACAACAAATCCAACAAACCTAGTGTAATCTCACAACTGAAGTGTGGGAAAAATAATATTTACACAGACCTTACCCCTATCTTGTAAAGGTAGAGAGATTATTTCTGATGACCCCGTCTAACACCAATACCATATAAACAAGGACAACAATGTTAAAATATTGCTTGAATGCGCCTATCACACCAATGTCATACTTGACAGAATATCTTAATGTGCTTTGCTACATGGTACACGCCTAACATGCCATGCAGGGAATGTAATTCACCACGACAGGACTGGAGCAATATCTGGATCCTTAACATGATACACATAATTTAGAACTTCACAGGCAAGTTACTGATCGCTCAACTAAAGGATGTCGTGTCACGATCCAAATTTTCCTCCGTAGGATATCGTGACGGCACTTAGTCTTTAAGACTAGGTAAGTCTAACACTTATTGAATTAATAGAAGAATTTAACCAACAATTGATAAATAAGAAATAGAAACCTTATTACACAACTTACAATTCCCAAAACCGGTAGTACAAGTCATAAGCTCCACTCAGTTTACTAGAAAAATCCCTAAATAAAACTATTTGGAATTGAAGTTAAACAGTATAAATACAGAATCCGAGGGTGACTCCGAGGCATGCGAATGCGACAACAGGTTTACATTGAGTCTCCACAGCTCGACCAACCAGCTAATAATCAACAACAACCGTGGCACCTCGATCTGCACAAAAATATGCAGAAGCGTAGTATAGGTACACCACAGCGGTACCTAGTAAGTATCAAGACTAACCTCGGTGAAGTAGTGACGAGGGACAATCAATACACCTACAAGACTAAACAACCTGCACAAGTGTGAATGTGAACTAACAGAGGAAACAATATTAATATAAAGCTAAGCAGGGTAAGGAACACAGATTAATACTTGCAATGATATACTAATAACAACAATATTTAATAGGAAGCAGTCAAGTAATAATGTTGTATAGTAAACTGAACACAATCTAAGTCAGTGAAACTAAATAAAACAAAAACCAGCAACAACTCAATAAGAACAACCGCTCTTACACCAGATTTGTTCAAGCATTTTCACGAGGTACCGAACCTCATAATTACGACTCACGAGTCCCAATTCTTTAACCCTAATCACTTGGCACCTTGTGCTCACATTTCAATCCATAACCGCACGGATGACTCACGTGCCAAGAGGACAACTCTCACACAGAAGGCAAGTAGACAAGAGTACATGTGATGGTCAATAACATCAGGACTTATCTCCTTAAACCGCTATGGTTGATTCATCCACGTGTATGCTTGTGCAAGTATTGTACCATAATTCAAGTCCACAATTAAGAGTGGAGATAAGGAATCGCACATAAGAAATGATCACCAATAAATATACAGTGTAAATAAGACAACAATGAAGTGGACGTAACGACAAACACAACAAGCTTAGCTACATAGAACTAAGCAAAAGAGCAACACGAAGTAAAACAATTAGTAGTATGCTAAATAAAACAACAATCAAAGACAAGTGCACAAATAAAAGGGAAATGACAACAGAGTCATCCCGAGATACCGCCTTGTAGTCTCAAATCATAAAATGAATCATAACGGCACGACAGAAACCTCGTGAAAAAAAAAAATAACAACCGTACGGCAGAAATCTCGTACAACAATAACAACCGCATGACAGAATCCTCGTGCCACAATAACAACCGCATGACAGAATCCTCGTGCCACAATAACAACCGCACGACAAAAATCTCGTGCCATAATAACAACCGCACGATAGAAACCTCGTGCCACAATAACAACCGCACGACAGAAACCTCGTGCCACAATAACAACCGCACGACAGACTGAATATAACATCAACAATACAGAAGAATATGACAAGTAAATCAACTCAAGAACTCCAGAACACAAAGAGACGGAAAAACGAGTTCACAAGGAAAGACACAACATGAAATAATGGTACAACATAACGATAGCTCAACAAGAAAGAGATATTGTGTAGCAATGATTCCACATAAGTATAATTCTATGATAAGAGGGATAACGTGAATCAATGACTCCAATTAAGGGTAAGTCAAGAATAATAAGGGATAACAAAACATCAATTAGGGTTGAGTAATTACGGAAGAGATTCAACAACCGCAATTAAAAATAAGCGGATTATGGGAAAGATAATAATAACTTCAATCAAGGATAAGCAATTACGAAAAGGATAACATAGCAATAAAAGAAGCAACAACTTCAGTTAAGGCACATAAGAGTTTAATCGGCAATAAGGGTAAAATATGGAGCAATTAATTCCAATTAAGACACGTAAGGGTAAATTTCATAAATGGAGGATTTAACATAACAAGACAACTTCATATCTAATGAACATAAGAAGCTAAGAGCCCTAAACGGTCAAATCTCCACAAATAAGCCCGAGTACGTACTCGTCACCTCGCGTACACGGGCTTCACATGACACAATTAGCACCAAAGACTCAAATCCTAAGGGGTAGTTCCCCCACACAAAGTTAAGTAAGATTCTTACCTCAAAGAAGCTAGACCGTTACTCTAAAATGACCTTCTCGAGTGAAACAACCTCCGGACGGCTCAAATCTAGTCAAAATAACTTCAATTTATAAATTAAACTCATAGAAAATAATTTCGGGTAATAAAGCTTCAATCTTTTAATAAGAACTAAAAGTCAACCCAAAAGTCGAACTCCGGACCCGCTCCTCGGAACCCGATAAGATTTACAAAACCTGAATGCTTATTCCGATACGAGTTCAACCATACCAAAATTATCAATTTCCGACATCAATTCGTTCTTCAAATTATCATTTTACATTTTGAAAGATTTCCTAAAAAAATTCCATTTTCCTCAACTCAAAACACTAATTATAAGATAAAAAAAGAAGATAGGATCATGGAATATAATAAATTCTAGGTGAAGAACACTTACCCCCAATTATTTGCTTGAAAAACCCAAGAAACATCTCTCAAAGCCGAGGTCTACAACTCAAAATATGTTGAAAATGGCCAAACCCTCGACTTATATAATTCTGTCCATGCACGATCACACTTGCGACGCATTGGCCGCTTTTGGGGCGTCGCATTTGCGACAAAACATCTGCTTTTGAGGAGAATCACTAGAGGCCACGTATTGCACCTGCGGAGAAAGCCCCGCTTCTGCGCTAATGCAAGTGCGACCAGTGTTGCGCTTCTGCGCTGCCTCTTCGCTCCTGCTCCTTTCTCGTCCGCTTATGCGATCACGCGGGTGCGGAATATTCTTCGCACATGCGGCAACTTCCCAGACCTGCCCATTTCTCTTTTGCGACCATTTCACGCTTCTACATACACGCACCTGTGGACCCTCACGCGTAGGTGCGAAGACAATAGTTAACAGAAAGTTCCAGCAGCCCCAAACAATGCCAACGATTCGAACTCCGTCCGAAACTCATCTGAGCCACTTGGGACCTCGCCCGAATATACCAATAAGTCTCATAACGTAAAACAGACCTACTCGAGACGTCAAATCATATAAAACAACGTCAAAACTACGAATCGCACCACGAATCGAACTTATGAATTTCCAAGTCTTCTAACTTCTAAAACTCGCGCCGAAACATATTAAATCAACTCAGAATAACGCCAAATTTTTCATGCAAGTCCCAAATGACATAAATGAGCTAATTCAACTCTTGGAACCGCAATCCGAGTCCAATATCACAAAGTCAACGCTCGGTCAAACCTCTCAATCTTCCAAAACTTCAACTTTCCAATGTTTTCGCCGAATGCTTCAAATTACCCTACGGACCTCCAAATCCAAATCCGGGCGCACGCCCAAGTTCAAAATTATCATACGAAGCTATTGGAATCACCAAAATGCCATTTCGATGTCGTATACACAAAAGTCAAAACTCTGGTCAACTCTCATCGCCTAACCATCTAAAACAAGAATCCTTCCTCCTAATTGATCCCAAATCATCCGAAAACTGAACTTAGCCATACACGCAAGTCATAACACATAATACAAAGATGCTCGAGACCCTATGCCGCCGAACGAGACATTAATTCTCAAAACGACTAGTCGGGTCATTACATTCTCCCCCTCTTAAATAAACGTTCGTCCT